AGAGCAACGGAAGAGGACGATCGTTAAATGTAGAGGCTAGGGTTCTTCGATGGAAATTTGAATTTGAAGTTTCTTGATGCAAGTTAAAAATCCCCGAGAGTTTTTCTATAATTATTATTTTAATTAAAATCTTAATTGCTTAATAATTAGAGATGATCTGGCAGCCAGCTAAGATTAAAATGTTGTGAGTTGTTATATTCTGATTAGCCAGAGTACAAATGAGGTGGTGCTCCAGACGCACACATTCTCAACTATCTCAGCATATTGCCAAAATTAGTAAAAACTCACGCCACAATGTCCTTATACATCTGTGAGGGTGGGTTAATTAATTAATTTTGTACATGTATTACTATTTTAAACAATTACTAGACATGATAACATTTTTTTAGACCAGCCATAACTTTTAAATATATGCTTCCTCTCATTTAAAAATGTAAGAACTAGTTAGAAAATTGGTGTTGATTATAAATATAAGAGTTCCATCCATTTGTTTCTGAAATTTATAATTTTTTTAAACCATGCCAATTGGTGGGAATGTTAAGAGAATTTTTATGAAAAGATGGTTATAATACAAGTGATTAAATAGGTTATTTAGAAAAATCAAAACATATTCATTATAAAAATTAATTTAACTAATTTTTAACATATGTAAATTAGTTATTATCTTCAATCTTATACAGAAGTATTGCATCACTAATTTATAAGTCAAGAACCACTAAGTGGTGTGTAAAGTATGAATGTGTGGCGTCTTGTCCTATGAAAAGACAACTAATTTATAAAAATTAAATAATTAGTTATTTATTTATAATAAATATGTGTTGAGTTTTTTTAAATGCCTCATTCATTTACATTAGAAACTTTTTTTCATTGATGAAAACCCACCTCATTATATGCCATCAATATTGTTGTTTGGGAAACTAAATTTAAAGTTGTGAAGCAAAATCAACTAAGTCCTGTATTTGGAATCAAAATAAATTTCTCAATTGATTTTTATATTTTTAAACATAAAAATATTCCTCCAATTCTAAATATAAAATTCTTATATACACTATATAAAAGTTTTATATTTAAGACGGGAAGAGTAATAAATTTTGTAGACTTATGGCTAAATATGACTTTGTAATTGCATACAGCAGCTATGAGCAATCACCAAATTAAGAATTAATGACTTTTCAGTGGTCCCCACAATACGACACGCTGTGAACTTTGCTACTGGTCCCTTCCGGCTTGCCCGTATGCACAGAGAAGTGTGGTACCATCACCATGTGTATTATTACTATTGCATCTTCTATTTATAAGATTTTATTTATAGGTTATAAACAAAATCTTATAAATAAAAATAGAGATATTACTTCCTCTTTCCTTTTTTATTATAAGAGACATTTGATACTTATAGCATATTCCTATATATAAGAGACACTTAAAAGTTGTCTCTATTTTTTTGTGTTGATTTCCTATTTTAACCCATATTTATTGTCTCCAACTCACACTCTCTCTCCTTCCCACTTCTCTTTCTTTTAATAATTTAATTGTTCTCTCTCCTTATTAACGAAGGTATTTTAAAAAAAAATTATATTTTTTACACATTGATTGTTCTTAACTAATTTTAACTGCTTTTTTTATCAATGTAATTCGGTTATTTGTCTCTTATAATAAGGAACGGAGGGAGTATCATCATCATCATCATATCTAACAATTAATATAAAAACTAAATAACAAATTTGAGAAAAAAATCCAAAAAAATATATCTTAAATTACACTATAAAAAGAGTTTTATATTTAAGACCAAAAGAGTAGTAAATAAAACTGATTTAAAATTTTAAAATTCAAAAAATGTTTTCTTAAAATTTTTCAAATTAAAAAAATTAATCAAGTTTGTTATTTATAATAAATATGCATCAAATTTTTTAAATTATCTTTTATAATCATATGTACTGACATTAATATGAATATTTTTAATGCATATAAATAAAAAAAGAAATAGATAATAAATATAAAATACGTTATTTTAAGATGAGGTATAGACGTTGGGAAATCGAAAATATCACAAAACGAGAACAAAAGCGCGCGATAAATTTGGACGGGAAGTGTGTGGGTGAGTTCAAAGCCGATTGGCCCACACTATTATAAGCGTCAACCATATTCTCTTTTTTTTAAAAATATCCAAATATATTTATACATGTTAAAATCAACCATGAAGAAAGTGAATGAGAACACATGTCTATGTCTTTAATTTCAACAAAATGTGCTTCATCACAGGCTCTTGAACTTGATTAATACTTCTCCGGTCCTTAATATAAGACCCATTTAACTAATTTGATTAGATTAAGGAAGTTAGGTAAGTTAGTTAATTATAAGAAATGTGACACATTTTTCCTAAAACACCATAATCATCTTTCTTAATACCTCCTCTCCCTCTTCTACTTGATATGGTTGAGGGAGTATCCATAGGAGTAATTTAGAGAAAAACAATAGATATGAGAAATAGTTCTTATATTTAGGACCAAAACCAACTCAACAATTGGGTTCTATATTAAGGACCGGAGGAGTATATGCATTAGGTCATGTCCAAACTTGTCCAAATATCGCCAAATAAATAAGATCAGTTTATAGAGAATAAATCAAAGAAATAACTGGCAATCACAATATTATATAAATTTAAGTGTCTAATAAGTATGAAAAATATAAAAAGTATGAAATGAAAGTCATAAGTTCATTATGCTCTTGATGAAGGAATTTCTCACATAATGATAATTAACACGCTAATATGAATATAAAGTTTTCAAAAGGATGAATGGCCAAAAATAAATTTGTGTATTGAAGAGACATGAACCAAGCCCAAAAATGAGTCTATCAATCCCTTTTAATGGTGTGTGCTTGGTAGTATGGTTATTGTGAGTTCTTATTTTACTATCTCGGGTCTTAAATATAAGAACTAATTGATTAATTTGAGTATATTAAGAAAATAAGTTAAGTTAGTTATTTGTAATAAATATGTATTATTTTTTCTAAAATATCTTTACTAATCAAGTTTATTGGCTAGAATTATCATTATTAAAAGAACTATCTTGGGAAAAAATAAACAAATATGAGAGACAAAATAGATTGTGGTTTTATATTTATGACTAAAATAAAAATCAAATGAGATTTTATACTAAGTATCGAGTAGTATCTTATTTAAATATGTCGGGAAAACAACTCGTATAGTGCTCAATTATTCGTCTTCTGTTGTTCTTTCCTTTCTTTGTAGTTTTCCATTCGCCAAGTTCACTTTTTTATTTCGTCTGGCAGTTTAGTCATTGCTGATCTTCTCAAACCTGGACACTGAAACACCATCTTGTTGAAGAAACGACCAGAAAAGTGTCCTAAAGGTGAGGATAATGCCACAGACACCAGGTAGAGACAATGTTGTTCCACATGTTTCAGTGTTTAAGGTAACATAGTAGTGCGTCTAAAAGCAGAACACCAATCAGGAAAGATAACTAAACACACCAAACCAAAGACAGAGCACACGATATGGGAGACAAAACACATTACAGATATCTCCTCCCTTTCTCTTTAATAAACCAAACACTGCGTAAATTTTGATGCGTATAGCTGAAAGAAAGATAATTTAGAGCCCGTTTAGAATAGCTTATAAGTAGCTTTCCAATCATAATTTACAAAATACGAAGTATATATGTGAGAGAAGTTTTGTTTTGGTTTATGTGAAACGTGTTTATAAGTGATTTCAATTGTAATAGCAAAGAGACTTTATGGTAATTAGTAGTCATATTGCATTAATAATCAATAGATAGTTTAGCAATATAATTGCATTTGAATGACAATATTTATTATAATAACTATTAACTTTAATCTAAATAAGTCATTGGCTTATATTAAGGAGTCAAGTTTATGTTGAATAGTACATGATACATTTTGTACTATTCATGAATACATGGTCGATCACTTAATTTTTGGCTTGAAAGGCAAGGATGAGGAATACATACAACGATGCTTCCAACGCAGCAAAACATGGACCAGGGACCATAAATTATAGAAAGCTTAGAGATGAGATGCTAAACAACTTTGCCTAATCAACTTCTCCATTTCCCCATCTCTCAATCGCGTTGTTTTGTGAAGTTGCTGACTTGAACAACTTTGCCTGAACAAAGCTTAGTGAAGTCACTGGTCTTGCATGTATGTCTGCTTTATTGTTTAAAATTTCACCACCATCACCATCTTCCCCTGCATTCTTGTCTTCTTTTTGCCCATTCTCAGTTTTCATTAAAATCTCTAAAACCTCATCAATGGAGGGCCTTGTCTCCTTATCTATCTACAAGCATTGAAATGCCAATTCTCCCACTGCAACCACCTTTTTCTTTACCTCACTATCCTTCTCAATCCCCAAACCTAGATCCACCAAATCCTCAAATTCATTCTTCTGAATCTTCCTTACTACAAGACTCCCTAATGCAATCTCATCTTTGTTCCTTCCAATATTATCTGCTGGCATTGAAGATATCAACTCCATAAGCACAATCCCAAAACTTTACACATCACTTTTGTTTGTTAGCCTAAAGCAAAAGTGATACTCGAGATCAAGATAGCCTGGTCTTCCTTGTGGTGCTGTTGAAACATGCGACACATCATCTGGGAATACCCTAGAAGGTCCAAAATCCACAACCTTAACACAAAAATTCTTGTCAAGGAGAATGTTGCTGGTTTTGACATCATGGTGGATAATGCCGGAAGCATGAAGGTAAGCTAAAGCACTGGTAGTTTCTATGGCAATTTTGATTGAAACAGGCCATGTCAGCAATGCAGGATTTGCAGAGCTGCCACGTAGGTGACTGGTAAGGGTGCCATTTGGGATGTATTCATAGACAAGAAGGACCTCATGGCTCTGACGCGAAGTGTAGCCATAGAGGCAGACAAGATTTCTGTGATGCAGGCGAGTGAGGATTTCAACTTCGGTCATGAACTGTTCCACTCACTGTAGTTGTGGTTTAATAGGTGTTTCACTGCAACTTCACACCCATCTTGAAGCTTCCCTATAAATGAAATAGCTTAAAGTTCAAAACTGCAAAATACAAGATTATATTAAAAGAAATGAGAGTGATTCATAAGATGACCATAGGAAACAGAGGCGAAGCCTCCATCTCCAAGTTTGTTGGAGGAGTCAAAGTTCTTGGCTGCCCCTTGAAGCTCCATGTGGGAGATGATTGGGACTCCGAAGAAGCGTCTACCACTGTCTGGATCCGCATCATTTGGGTATGACTCGCTCATTGTAGGCTGACATGTTTCTGTGTTTGCTTGTAGTGCTGGAAAACGAGCACCAATGCTAATACAATGATCCCAAAACTACCTGTCCAAGATCAATTCTTAAATCTCTTCCTTTTGAAAAGGGAATGTTGTCCTAGACTTTTCACCCGAAGTTTCTGCCTATTGTTTCTTGGGAACCTCATAATGTGAATGCATTTTACACTTGATAACAACCTATAATAATATATGTAGTAATACAGGCTTCTAAATAACTATGTTGGAAAGCAGATAGCTGAAAATGAAAACAGAAAATATGAAGTAAATTACCTATGATCAATCCTAGCATCAAAGCCCATCTTTTTTCCTGATCATCTAGCGTAGTTATCAGGAGCAAATATTAAATGGACTAGTTAGTATTGGAGCTCATTAGATTAGAATAGAAAGAAAATGAAATAAGCAGAGTTACGTTTATAGTTAATATGCATACCTTTGAATTTGGAACAATAAAATCCTTCGGTGCTATTGAGATGGCATATGCCTTTATTGTGATCAAAACAACGAAAACAGTCTTCAGAAAGTTGAATGCTAACGGGGAATTCAGAGGCTATGAATGTAAAGGGATCAGCAGAGAAAGCCAGCTTATTCACTGGAAGCTGAACCCTTGAACATATTGCTAAAGAAAGTGGAGGATCGTCTTGATCTTGTTTTCCGAAGAGGATCGTCTCATTAGTACTCTTACCACATCCTGTATACTTCAAGAATTGCTTTGAAACCCTGTAAGTGTGCAAACTATTACATTTGTACATGGTTAAATTTGGCAAGATATGAAAGGAACCCAAGGGTGAGCTGGGTGGAAGAGTAATATTGCAGTACAAGGCATGGCAGTCATCATTTTCCAAATAATTTTGTAAAGCTCTGTCTCTGAGGATAACTCTAATTCTATGAAGGCCATCAAATCTCCTCACTTGAAACTCCTTTCCACTGAATTGCACAGTTTTAGTTTTGTTGGGATTAGGGTCTTCACAACCTCGAATGGCCAACATTCCACATTTGTGTTTTGGCGTGGTGAAGGGGAAACTGAGCTTGCGCAGATTTCCACAGTCAAAAGGAAGATGGACAATCTCTAGAAGCAGAAGAGAGAGGAAGCACATGGTCTGAAAACAACAAGAAGAAGAAGAAGACCGACAAATAAACAGGCACAACCATTCTTCTGAAATGCTCACTCTCACTCATGTACAGAGCAAGAAGTGAACTTGGCGTCTCAATTAATGAGAGTGTTTCAAGTAATGACTTCATGGTTTTATTCTGTAGGAAATGAAGTGAGTCGATTAGCTATTTACAGTACAAACACGCAGAAGGGCAGAACGTTGGGCATGGGATACGGCAGTTGACTTGGAGCTGCAAGTTGGAAGGAATGTTTGACCATAAGCCAATTGGCCCACACTATTATAAGAGTCAAACCATATTCTCTTTTTTAAAAAAATATCCAAATATATTTATACATGTTAAAATCAACCATGAAGAAAGTGAATGAGAACACGTCTATGTGTTTAATTTCAACAAAATGTGCTTCATCACAGGCTCTTGAACTTGATTAATATATGCATTAGGTCCTGTCCAAACTTGTCCAAATATCGCCAAATAAATAAGATCAGTTTATAGAGAATAAATCAAATAAATAACTGGCACTCACAATATTATATAAATTTAAGTGTCTAATAAGTATGAAAAATATAAAAAGTATGAAATAAAAGTCATAAGTTCATTATGCTCTTGATGAAGGAATTTCTCACATAATGATAATTAACACGCTAATATGAATATAAAGTTTTCAAAAGGATAATGAGAATGAATGGCCAAAAAGCAAAAAGTGAGTGTAAATGATGTCAAAAGGTAAAGGAATTAATGAAGCACCAAAGAGGGAATCATATGCATTACATGAAAGGGAAAGTGAAAAATTATTCATACCATTCATAATTAATAAATAATGAATTATAGTAAATTCATGATGTTTGACCCTGCAGCAGTTGAATTTGCATCATCCATACCACACATGGAATTAAAATTGATAAAGATTCACCTTTAAATAGAACTTAACCGTTCAAATTAACACTTGATCCCAAATGGAAATTCATGTATTAAGATAATATTATAAACAAAATTCATATTAACAATTAAAACTAACATCCTATATTAAGATTGGAACTAACAATCGAAGTTAAACAAATATGCCTTCCGATGAGAGTTGATATATTAAACTTCAATCTCAGAAATAATTGATCTTACACTGTTGAAGATTTTTTTTTACACTTTAAATAATTTCATTACTGTACAAAATGCCATACTTGGCACTCCATAGTTGTTGGTTAAACAGAAAAGCATCAAGTAAGTAACATGAGGTACGTAGAGGCTGATTAAGGACTTATTTAAATGATTATTATATGTGTCGACCATCAAATAAGTATGGGTAATTATTTGATGTTTATATTAGTCAACCGTTAAATAGATTTTTTTTTAATTATCAGAAATTTAAAACTATTTGATAACTTCTTTTTTTTTGGTAAACAGCCGTCAAATATTTTTAGGTGATATACTTGACCGTCAAATATATATGCTCAAAATATCAATTTTCATCTTAAAAGGATTGGAATCAAAGTTAATTATTCTTCCACCGATGCAAAAACATTTAAATCTTTTCAGTTATCAATCTTAAATATTGTTCTTCCAAATAATTTCTTAGTTAATGACCCATGATAACATAAATATCTTAATAATCCTGCCCCACATTCATGTAATTTATAGAGGATTAAGACAATTAAAGTGTAAAAGTGATTCTTGGAAGTAATCACAAACACCCAATAAATAAAGCGAACAAATATAATTGTCAAAATGGTTTAAAATATAAAATAGATTTTATTAGGTTTGTAGTTGAGAATATGGAAAGAACTATATTACAGAGTTGAAATAACTATATAAAGGAATTTGATTTCGACTTACATAAAAGTACTTTTTAAAAGTGTTTTTGAAGCTAACCAAACACTACCTCAGGTACAATAAAACAACTTTAACTTTACAATGGTGATCATGCTGTACGAGGAGGGAGTTGTGGCATTGAGTCGTTCAGTGATCCAGCTCCATCCAAAAGTAGTGAGGTTGGGAGAGATGTATGTATCTCCCAGTTCGAAAACCCAGCACCACGAAACTCTAGGTGCTTTAGATAATCATCCTTTCCATTTTCAATTTTCTGTAGAAACTCCACTACTTTATCCATGGAAGGTCTTAGCTCTCCATCTCTCTGTAGGCACTGAAAAGCTAAGTTTGCCACTGAGATTATCATCTCCTTAACCTTGTCATCAGACTCAAAACAAAGGGAATGATCTACAAACTCAGTAAATGCTCTTCTTTGAATCTTCTTAACTGCCATATTTGCCAAACTAATCTTATCCTTGGCCCTCGTAACAATGATAGCTGGCTTAGAAGATATGAGCTCAATCAACACGACTCCGAAACTATAAACATCACTCTTTTCAGTAAGCTGGCAGAATTGGTAATATTCGGGGTCCAAATAACCGGGGCTTCCTGCTGGAGCCGTAGAGACATGAGACACAAACATGGGAAACAATCTGGAAATACCAAAGTCAGCAACCTTGACACAAAAATGGTGATCTAGAAGAAGGTTGCTGGATTTGACATCGCGGTGAACGATGCCAGAAGCATGGAGATAGGACAATGCATTTGCTGTCTCTATGGCAATCCTCATCCTTAAGGGCCACGGTAGTGAACCAGGTTTTGCTAGATTTCCATGAAGATGACAACCAAGAGTTCCATTTGGAATATATTCGTAGACTAGGAGCAGTTCACGACTGGTACGGGAAGTGCAGCCATAAAGTGACACAAGGTTTTTGTGCCGCAAGCGTGTTAGAATCTTAACTTCATTCATGAATTGCTGTACACATGAGTTGCGCTCAAACAGCCGCTTAACAGCAACTTCTCGTCCATCTTTAAGTTTTCCTAGTCGTTTAAAATCAAACCAACACCTTTTCATCAACATCTACACTAACACAAGTTAATAATGCATCTCCCCAAACACAATAATATAACTTCAAAATTCAACTATGTAAGAATGAATATTTTTGACAGAAGAAAATCTCAATACATATTTTTAAGGTGGCTTACCATAGTAAACAGTTCCAAAGCCTCCACTTCCAAGTTCTCTTGATCGATCAAATTTGTTTGTTGCTACTTCGAGTTCCTCATAGGAGAAGACAGGAAACTTAAAGTAGATGTGTCTACCTTCTAGGATTACATTTGAGTGAGTATTATCAGATTCAATGGTTCTTGACTGATTTTGTGAGCCCAAAGACTTGTGTCTTCGTTTGTTCCGCAATAGAATAACAACCAAACCAATTATAATCACAACAGTTCCACTTGTTACACCTATATATATGCCATGTGACAGAATTTGGTGAAACAGAATAACTTGCATTTCATTGATGAGAGTTATATTCATAGAAGGAAAAATACACATAACAACCAATATTTACAAGTAACTGATTAGTTTTGTATAATTAGAGGAAGAGCTTTGAAACTTTAATTAATTCTAGGATTATGTTAGCCACGAATACAGTCAATTAAAATAAGATTTGTTGTGCTCTTTCGTCATCAGATAAGATTTCTTGTACTTGTATAAAGATTTCATACTTTTTGGCAGCCAAAATATATGGATTTTCGTGACACAAACATTATCTTCGGCTAACCTTTTGTGTTAAGAATGATAGAATGAATCTGTGTGCTTACTATCTTCATTGACTCAGACACTGACCAGGATCAAGATTTGGAAAAGTGGACAGGAAAATAGGGGTCAAGTCTTTGCCCTCCACCTTGAAGTTCCCACGACCACAAAAGGACACAGTATACCAGAAACTTCAAGTTTTATCCACGGGACCACGGCAACCACCTAATTTTATTATTTAGCAATAATGATTTTAAAAATACTCCTACTATCTGTATTCATCATCAGGGTCAACTTAAGTATAATCAAATTTTACTTCACTTATTTATGGAGCAATCACCGGGCACTATCTGTTGAGTGATGTTTTCGCGTCTGTATTAAATGTCTAGTCCAATGGGAAAAGAACTTCATTAAAATCTTTGATCTCTCCTCTGTTTTTCTCAAACCAAACAATCATAAAAATTAATAAAACTTAAAATATTTAGTGAATACTAGTTTCATAATTTTTCAAAAATAATAGTACTTGGAACAATATGTGGATTTATGTTTTTAGTGGTAATTTCACAAAATGTAATGCTGTCTAGATGTTGTAAAAGCATAAATAATTCTATTTTGTTCAATTTCTGGTGCAATTCACAAGATATTTTTTTCCGGTTATAATATAGAAATAAACAATGACTTGTTGTCTTTTAAAATTACAATTATATACAAATATAAACAACAAATTATTTTATTCTGCAAATTATTGCAATTATGAAAATTTTTAAAAGAAATCTAAAATGCAATTTGTTTTATTTTAGAAATTATTATATCTGTATATATTTAAAATATAATTAATAACTAAATAATTAATTTATTACCTATTAGCAATCCCAGCTTCCAGGCCTGTCTTTTATTTCGATCTTGTGTCTCAATTTCATCTATGCCACAAAAAGAGAAGCAGATACGAAATGAACAAGTTAGTGTCGGAGTTGATAAGATTAGATATAAACCAAAGAGAAAAATGCAGAGCCCGTTTGATTAGTTGACAAGCAGTTAATATGAGATTCTGAAAAAAGACTGAGTAAATTTAACATGTTACTTAATAATTATGCATACGTTTAAATTTAGAGAAGCAGATATGAAATGGACCAATCAGTCTCAGAGTTCATCAGATAAGGTCCACAGAGGAGCAAAAAAAAAAAAAAAAAAAGAATAAGCCGAGCTAATTTGATTAGTTGACAGGCACACGAAGGACCTAGTAAAAAATTCTCATATGTTACTTGTTAGACCCAAGAAATTCTCATATTCTGTACCATATGTTATGCATACCACAATAAAATCCTCCGGTGCTGTTGAGCCGGCACAAGCCTTTCTCAAAATGATGACATCGATCACAAGCAGGAGAAAGCTGAATACTGACGCCGAATTCAGAAGCTA